TCTTCTTCTACTTAACGCTATCTATTTCTTTCGTTCTATTACTTTACTCTTATTAACTATCTCTTCTTTATTTATACTATTACTTTATATAGAGATCTTATATATCTTAAGTTATTTCTCTTCTTCTCTCTTCTTCTACTTAATACTATCTCTTTCTTTCGTTCTACTACTTTACTCTTATAGACTATTTCTTCTTTATTTATACTATTATTTCGTATAAGTCGTTATTTTTTCTCTACTCTCTATCGATAGATATAGCTTCGCTAATAATAAACGAAATCTAGAAGATATTTAACGTATAGAGCGTCTAATTTTAAGATATTAAGTAGTAAATCCGCTATAGAAACTTATAAAAAAGTAGCTCTACTATCGACTATTTTAATCTACTTTATTTTATATATAATCTAGATATAAACTAGTCTAAGTAGTTAAATTAATCTTATATTATATCGACTATCGAAGTAATATAATTCTATTATAATTAAGGCGACGAAATATAAATTATTACCTTAGAGTATTAGATAGTATAGATAAATAATCTAAATAAAGATACGCTAAATATATAGAAATCTATTAATAATTCGACTATACGAATTATTATCGTAAATAAAAATAACTATTAGTATCTCTTAGTAGCGTAGTCTAAATAATAGTAATAGACTATACTAGATTCTCTATAGAAGTCGCGAAACTATAGTAATATTTACGTTAAATACTTTATCGATCTACTCGAGTAAGTCTATCTTTTCGCGACCTAGAGTCGATAGATCTTTTAGTCTAATCTATAGACTAACTACTAGGATTATAGTATCTTCACTATTATAAATACTATAGCGATTATTAAGTCGATCGATAACTACTCTAAAATTAAATAGAAGGTCTAGAATATCGCGCTAACGATAGAATTTCGATTAGTTTATATTAAGTAAATCCTTAAATACTATATAGCTATTAAGTCGGGAGCCTTTAAGTTCGCTCTATTATCGAAACGACTTATCTAAGTAGCTTCTATAGTTACGATATTAGAAAAGGCGTATATAGTATTTAGAGGGAAGAATACGTCTAGTTCTAGTACTAGATCGATAGCTAAGAAGAACGCTTTATACTTTTCGAAGTATATCGAGTAAGATAGCTAATTAGAACTATTCTATATATCTATATTCTATTTTCTATATATTTTACTCTCGTATACTAATATAGTAACTAGAACTAAGATACTATATAATTTTAAGATTTTATATACTAGCTTAGTATACTTTAACTCTAGATAATACGACTTAAGATTCTAGTATATAGTTAAGAGACTTATTAATTATTATCTATACTACCCTATTACTTATATATACTAGATTTAACTCTAGATACTACTACCCTTACTATACTATACGCTTCTATACTCTATATTAGGTAATTATTTAATCTAAAATATTACTACTCTATCTATACTTTATATTATAGAACCCTAAATACTAGCCTAATACTTAACTCTAGATTCTACTACCCTACTTACGCCGCGTGCCGCTAGACTCTAAATACCTCTTAACTAGTTAACCCTAGCTTTCGTTATCCTCCCTATACTATATACTACTATACTCTAGATTAGCTAATTACTTAACTCTAGATTCTACTACCCTACCTACGCCGCGCGCCGCTAGACTCTAAATACTAGCCTAATACTTAACTCTAGATTCTACTACCCTACTAGCGCCGCACGCTACTAGACTCTAAATACTAGCCTAATACTTAACTCTAGATTCTACTACTCTACTAGCGCCGCGCGCCGCTAT